GGGGGGGGGGGGGGGGGGGGGGGGGGGGGGGGGGGGGGGGGGGGGGGGGGGGGGGGTCACATTTAATCATCGAAAATATTCCGTCGCTTGAGCAAGTAGTTGGGCCATTGGCCTGAATGTACCCCTTTTCAGGACAGAGAAGCGCCTACGTTGTTCCGTTCTCTCCCACCAGAGACACAACAAAAACTGAGCGCTCTACTGCTGTCAACGCTCGCATCAAAAATGGCGGTATACGCTGCGATGTTTTGGGTTCTTGCTTGGGTCGGAGTTGAGAGAGAGGCAAAACATTAGCGCAGTCAAGAAAATCCGAGATGCGGTAATAAAGTAGAACGACCAAAAACTGATACAGGGAAGCGTAACATGTCCGCCCCGCTCACGCCCATGATCGTCTCTTCCTACAGCTGGAGATGGGGATGCGGGGCGCCAAATGTTCAGCACGGACTGGGGTGGAGGCGATTAGATTCGCTTCGATTCTACAGTAGGGTGCAAGCGTATGAGTTCATGCCGAAGAAGATAGGCATTCCCATTTACGACATTCCTTGAAAGAAGTGGACATATGGAAACTCCTCCGAAAGCAGCGGAGGGGAGAACAAGCTTGAGATCCACCGAAAGAGAAAACGCGGCAAAGGCGCCGTGCTCTTGAACACAGACAAGTCAATTTTCCAACATGCCACCAACCCTCCCCCTGTATTCAAACTTCGCGAGAAACAGAAGTACGAGATGGACACGACCGTCAACACCGTTGCTTCATCACGCACACACAACGCTAGAGGCAACAGTGTGAAAAACGACAGATCGTTGCACTGGGACACACTGATCGACAAATTCTCACTCTACCCCCCGTGCGCCGTCCGACACAAGCCCATGATGGAGCGTATCTAGCCGTCCGACATCATACATCTTCTGCACTTAAAGCGTCGCCCGATTGTGTTCAAAGCGCTAAGGTCCTCACCGCAAAAATGGGAAACGCTGGTGATCAGCAGACAGACAGAGTCATGGCGAGTGTTGTCACGCGGACCGTTGCGGGCAGCTGTTGTCCATGCTAACATCATGGCATTCGACTTGAACGAGAATGGGCAAACGTCGATCGCCCCTAGCGGGTGCCGCATTATGTATTGATTTGCCGTGGCTAAAATCTAGCACAAAGCTGTATCCGAAACACCATCAGCAATCCACTCAACAAACAAAAACACGCACCCGGAAGAAGTCAGTCATTTTCGTCGGTCAACCCACTCGCGCAATCGACGGCAAGTCAAGAATAAAACACGCACACAAGCGGGTCCACAGACAGACAAGACACACACACACACACACACACACACACACACACCTCGTTCGCCCCCGCTCCAAGCAGGATGCACTCGGGGGGACAGCGCTCGATGTCGGGGCAGTTTACTCTGAGGCGACGTTTGCTCGACCCGTCCAACAGGCAGAGGTACACCTCAACCCTGCCCACAAGAGAGATACCATCCGCCTGACCAAGAACGAGGAAAGGACAGAGCAATTGAAGGGGCGGGGTGGGATTACATGACGAGAAACAGCAGAAGACACTATTTATGAATTCATTTTTGCTGATCTATCCAAGAATTTCATCTGCGGAACCGATGAACTTGTCGTGAAGAAGAAACAAAAAAAACACGTTCACGACCAAATAGGCAAGTGGCAGCATGGGACATAGTCAACACACACAGGTTGTATATACGCCCAGCGGGTGTCCCAGCCAAAGGACAAGTTTAGACTAGACCACGCATTCCTACACGAGAACAACGAACAAAAAAAAACACACACACATACACAAGTTAGGGATAGGACACGTTCGGACCTGCGAAACGACACACACGGACGCGCCAGGCAGGGTACGGTCGGGTACGTTCCACGTGCTCGGACGCTACCCACCACACAACTTAGGAACTAATTCAGCAACACCGCTTCGGGGCCCGTCGCCAATCCGAACACCTGCGCGCGGCAGAAGTACTAGGCCTTCGGTGAATTCATAACCAAGATTTGGATATGCTCGCCACCAATCCGAATACCTGGGCGTTACGGAATTTTTAGGGTCCCAAGACTGCCTGGTTTTCGAGGAGGCACCCACGCCGGCCGCATTGTTTTTGAAGCAAGACTTTATTGCTTGACGACTATTTAGATGCGGTGTATGACAAGCCTGGTTCAACAGCAGGGATGGATTCTTGCTGGAGGTGTTCAGGTACACACCCACCTCGTCATCTGCAGCAGCAGGGGCATCGGCACCAGCCGCCGCCTCGCCATTGTTCGGCGAATTCCGGGGGGGCTTCGTACCACCGGAGCCACTGACCCCGCCGCCGCCGCCGCCGTCGCCGCCGCCGACGTCGTCAACAGACCACCCCGGCCCGCCCCACACCTCCTTTCGCGCCTGATTGGTTAACAAAAAAAAACATCATCAAGGGGACACATCGATTTTGATTTCAGGGCGCCGCGTCATTTTTGTGTAGGCAATTGGGGGGGGGTACCCTAGTTACAAAGGAAATGTCAGGTCGCTGAGTTGGTTCCGCCCGACATGCCCTAGCCACCGAAGGCCGAGGCGACCTCACCATGTGGTGCGGGCACACAAGCAGCGCTTTGCTTCGGGCGGCGGTCGCGAGGGCCGGCTCACTACACCCGCCCGCGCCCTCTCGCCCGCCCAAAACCCGCTCATGCGCTTCGCAGGCCCCCAGCACCCCCCAACAGTCCGCCCAACAACTACTTCCTCGATATCGTGCGATCTACAGCAGTACGTAGATTTCGCGGTGACACCTCGTTCCACCCCCGCCGCCCCTTGCCCGGTTTCTCGTTACCGGTCCTAATGGCTCAGAGGGGCAGACTATGACCATGCCGATCGACAGAACACTGGTAGAGAGCGGGAGTTTGCCTTCCTCTCATGCCTCGCGAAGCCCTACCAACACCTGTCTGACGTGGAAGGAGAACATCACACAACCACCCCCGGTCCGCGTAGGCTGGGATTTACCGTGGCGCGACTGGAACTACCGCCGAGGCCGAGCGATCCATCTATCTTGTCGCTTTCCACGGACAGAGTTCAGAGGGTCTTCCAGCGGAAAATGTCTCTACACGCTACATGATTTGTCCGCGTGCTCTACTTGATCATACAGCGTGAATATGGTCTGGAGTCGAAATTACGGCATCACGATACGCATACACACGCACACACAACACTGCAGCAGCCAGCAACAGCAGCAGCAGCGACAACAACACATGTCATGCACAAGAAAAACTACAGCGATCTAGACAGCCGCCGTCGCCCACCCGGAAACATCCACCAACACACCCACTCGCATTCCTATTCCTTGAAACTGCTGCTGCTGAGTTTTCGAGCTAATTTAAACCACAGAACTTCCCGTCTCGACCCCACGCGCCGATGCTCCCTAACCCCCCTCCCCTCCTACAAGGCCAACCAACCCTCCCGTACCCGATCGCACAGCCGCACCCCTCCCCCCCTAGCCAAGCGGACACCATGACCAAGAAGTCCAGCGTGTTACACAGCAGCCGGACCAAGGGAGAGATCACCAACAAAAAAACGCTCCTCCAAACTGATGAAAGGGGTAGTGCGTCGTCTTCAAAAAAATCAAACCAACAGGCGAGCGAACGAAACGAGCACGATCCCCTCCTCTCCCACTTACCGTCATCTTTCGAAACTGCTCGGCCGTCTGCTCCACGTGCTCCACAAGCTGTTCTCTCGCCCTCACCATCCTCTCCTTCAGGGTCCCCTTCTCACCGGAAGACGACGACGACTGCTGCTGCGGCTCTCCCATGCCCAAGCCTTGCATAGCGTTCCGCCGAAGCACGAAGCTGTTTCATGTTGTTGTTGTCCATCACAATCAGTGTGATGATCGACCCAAAGGAAGAAGAGGCATAGGGGTGGGGGGATCGGGGTCAAGGTTGACGGGTGGCTAAGGGGGGGGGGGGGAA